GAGCCGGCGATAACTTGTATTATGTGGCTGGCTTTTTATTTTATCTAGCAACGCAATTTTGCTAGAAAGTGTCAAATCATTTCTTGGCATTTTGGCAAGGGTTAAATTTTTGAACAAATTTTTGCACTGTTCACGCGCAATGTGTATTGTGAGTGAATAAATATGCAACAATCGAAAGAGTCGTCACGTACGAGGTAATGGTAACTGAATAAGAACGCCCTTGCGCTCGCCTGTGATGCAACGCATACACAATCAGCTGTAAGGCAGCGCATGCGCAATAAGCTGTAAGACAACGCTCCGTAACAAACTCGTAATATGTACTGTGATCTTTAATTTACTGTCCCAATTAAGCGGAATGTTGTCCCAATTAAACATGTAAGTTTTCTATTGGCTTCTTAGTTTGGTATCTGTTCTTTGAGATTAGTCCCAAATAAGCAGCTGTCCCGATTAAGCGGTTTCCCAATTGAGCGGAATCGACTGTATTGTAATCGCGAGAAGTTTCAGGCAGCATATTTCAACGAAAATATCCATTTCGACCGCTATCGAATGCAATTTAACGATGTTTTTGCGTGATATCTGTACGTAAGAACAGGATAAAAGACTCGTGTCCTCCAAAAAAATTATAAAACTGCTTTAAAATGAATTCTGAAGAGAATTTTTCTTGGCGTCTGTACGAATGTATGTACGTACGTATCTCGCATAACTCAGAAACGAGTAGCCTCAGAACGTTGAAATTTTGTATATAGGACTGCTATAACACGTAGATGTGCACCTCGTATTTTGGTTGCAATCGGCCGCGCCAAACGTATATAATATATTTATATATATATCCACTCTGTTTACCCGGCTCAGTGATCTCAGTTTCTTTACTCTTAATATGTTTGTAAATCGTACATTTTTTTGCTTTAAAAATGATTGAATTATGTTGTTCTTATCTTCCGGTTAAGGTTTTTATGCCTTTAGTAAATCTGTGTGCAATATTTTTAGAATTATCAACAATTTTAAAGTTATTTAAGTGCCGCAAGCCTAATAATTTTTTTGGCGGCCATTGCTTGTTTACATTTGAAACAGCAGACTAGTGGATTTGTTGCCAATCTAGAAAAACTTAGCTTCGCAACAACAAAGATAACGCCTTCATTTATTATTGCGAATTAAATCATGCTTCATCCTTTCTGGAATTTTTTCGAGAAATAAGTGTTTACTTCGTAATTTTTAATACAGATATTTTGAGATTTTATGTATTTTTGCCTTCTCGCGAAGTGAGAATTGAATTAATTGAATGAGAAATACTCAATCGTCTGTGAAAAACTGTTTCTTTTTTGTTTTGTTTGCTTAATTTCTTTTGTACATCATCCTAGCTTTATTATGATATTTGAATATTTGTGGCAACGATTAGATAATTTTATTCTTTAAATGATATAAATTTTATCTAGCGCCTAATTTATATCTAGCGCCAGAGTGTCGCTATGGTAAACAAATAGAGAGAATTTTAAAGAATGCATTTATTCTATTGTGGTTTATGCGCTGTCGGCGAAGTAGATTTATTTATTCTTTAAATGATATAAATTTTATCTAGCGCCTAATTTATATCTAGCGCCAGAGTGTCGCTATGGTAAACAAATAGAGAGAATTTTAAAGAATGCATTTATTCTATTGTGGTTTATGCGCTGTCGGCGAAGTAGATTTATTTATTCTTTAAATGATATAAATTTTATCTAGCGCCTAATTTATATCTAGCGCCAGAGTGTCGCTATGGTAAACAAATAGAGAGAATTTTAAAGAATGCATTTATTCTATTGTGGTTTATGCGCTGTCGGCGAAGTAGATTTAATAAGTTTTAATTAAATCTACTTCGCCGACAATCCAATAAGTTTAAATGAAATGCAAGAAAAAATGCGTATAATTTAATATAATTTAATATTCCGTACAAGGAAGTCATGTGGTGTACACATCAGATTTTTTTTTTTATTAAGCTATTCAAAAAAAAAAAAAAAAAAAAAAAAAAATACTAGTTAAAGTCTTTCTGTTGTATTTCTGAGTATGATAACACTTTCATTTATTGCATTCGTTCAGAATGATATGCAAATCCATCTTACGATATTTCAATGAAGTGAATTTGCTTTGTCATAAAGTGAGAGTGATAAAAGTGAGATAATGGAAATTTCTTCAGCGGATAGAAAGGAAAAGGAGAAGCGAAAGATTACTGGATTATATAAAACGATAATATTTCCGTTGTATAATGCTTCTTACAAACCTCCGACATTATGGAATGTATTCTTCGGAGAGTTTTTAAACTTAGAACACTCATTTTTAGTTAATATCATGAAAAGTATATGGACTGTTAATTAAGAAACATAATAATACGCTAAAATAGTTTTTAATAGAATTAGAAATCGAAAACTTTTCTCTACAGAAAGTTATAAACTTAATTTACTATTGCATTAATGTATAATACTGATATTAACAAAATTAATGAATAAATAAATAATGTCATTGTTGTTGCTTATGCTCACTTGTCCGACTTAGTCAGCCCAAGCCCACGAAATTTGTCGTGGCAAGGAGCGCTAGAATACGCCTGCCGTTGGCAACAACCTTAAGCACCATTCAGGGGACAGTGCGATTTAGCTCAGTCCCGCATCCAATTTTGATGAATAGCACCCCGGGGGGGACGGGTCCGAGAGTTTCCCACTCTTCTCCCCTTACACCAAACCACACGAGAGGACTTTGGACTCGCCGCATATTCAAAATTCTGCCATGCCGCACCGATACTATACATTTACAAACATCCATGCCTTTCTCTGGGACTCGAACCCGGGCCCTTCGGCACTGCAGGCAGCGACGTTAACCAGGATACCGGTTGGGCGGCTAAATAACCCATGGAATTAACAATCACAAAATAAAAAATTAAAATTTTACAACGCCAATATACTTACTTAACAGGCTAAATAGTACATTTTGTGATAGTTTTTATATAATTCATTTAATACAGTTCAAGAATTTAGATTTTGACGTTTTATGTTTGACTGTTTCTGCAATGAAGTATGTATACATCTTTCACTATGCATATGTAATTAGAAATTCAAGATATGCTACATACCAAATTCCTAATTTTATGTGCTAGAAATGATGTAATACTTTACTTGCGATACGGTAACAGTATTTAAAGTCTGTAGCGTTTAAATACAGTATTTAACACTAAGAACGAAGAGTGAATAATATGAAGAGACCTGCAAAATATCTGTTCTTTACATTCTTTGTAGACATCTCCTTCTTATTTGCAGTTTGGAATCACAATGTCAACATGAGAGTTCAGTTTTTATTACTTTTTTCGCAATTTTTGTCTTTCAATAGCTACGGCAAAGTAAAATCGAGAGGGTGCCTACTTGAAGAACCTTTATCTTTTTGGAGGACTTTCTAACAAAAACTGGTTCGTTTTGCTAATGCATATAGGGAAAAACTAACGCCAGTTCTCCAAAGTCCAACTACTAGTGTCCAGGTGCTCTATCCAGTCAGCCACTTCTTATTCTGTAAATGCAGTTTGGTCACCGAAAAAGTAAATACTGCATTTTGTATTATTTCGAATGAATGCGAAAGTTAAATAACATATTTTACAATATTGGTATGAGGCATGCTATGAAATAAATAAAAGCTTACTTTTAAATCTATTGAACATCAAGAAATAGAAAGAGCAGATTACTTGTCGATTTTATGGAGTCTGATTATAAAAATTTGTTAAAATTTACAGCTTAAACCTAGCAAAACAGAAACGAGGCATCCAATTCAACATTTATAAATAAGGCGGAACTAAAGGCAGTACTTAAATATATTCAAGATTCTATAGAGACATATATACTTACAATTCTATTTAAAAAAGCAAGAAAGAAATTATTGTTTACATTAAGGATGAAAATTATTCTGATATATAAGAAATATTCTGACACAATTAAAATCAAGACATGAATCTTTTTTATACTTACGTTTACATTAGAAAACTGCATAAAAATGATAGAGGTATGAAATCATGTAATTCTAACGTAGAATTTGACAACATACATATCTACATGAAATTAATAACAAAAGTTAATAAAACTTTTTTATTTGCTATCACTTATATTTCTTAATTTACCCACTCCTGTAACAGGAGTATTACGCGAAAAGATTAAAGTAATAGTGTACCCCAAAAGAAAATGTTTTAAAGATATTATCTTTAGATTTCTTAAAAAAGTGTTTTGATGCATCATCTGAAAATGCAAAATGCTCAACAGCCTAACTTTCACTTCATTCCGAGCAGCCCGTCAGTGGTTGAGTGGTTAAAAATTGCTGAATACTCGCAATTTGCCACGTATTCGAACTTAGGGAAACAAGTCAGTTGCATGGTTTATTTTTTTGGTTTTCCGTATGAGCAGGGAGAATACGAGTGAGTTTCCTTTGAAAACTCCTTTGCTAAGACTCCTTTCCCTTACACAGATAGCCCTCATGTGCTTTGCTATAATCAAACTACCTAACCATAATTAAAAAAAAAAAAATTATAAACTGTATTTCTAAATTAAATTAGAACTTTCCTGAATGTATGTTTTTAAATACTTTCAGCAGCGAGATGCACTTTTTTTGAAGGATGATTAAAAGACCTAAAAGACCAAAGAAGTGCAAATTACTCTTTACTTACTACTTATTTTGCAAAAAGGTTCAGGTCATAAACTCTGTGGTTTTAGAGTAATATCTGATCAACAACTTGTCAAGAAACAAATGCAAGAATCTAATTTCAGGGTCATTCGAAAAATGTTTCACGTATGAATTATTTCGAGTTAAAGAAATCTGATTTATCGAAAAAAGTTACAACCACTTTTTGATAAATTTTGCATGTGATAACCTTGCAGTTTGATTTATCGACAGTACCAAATTGTGGAAATTCGAATAATTATTCATTCTACTGCATAAATTTAGGAATAATAAATTTAAAGACGTAAGAATTTATAAAAACGTGATAAGTGATTACTTACCTTGGTTCAGATTTTCTACCTGGACGTAATATAAACAAAGCTTCAGGATAGCAATGTTTATATCAATTGTTGTGGATCAGTGAACCGCCCGTTTACAGCCGTTTATCACAGAATTTGCTTCAACATAAATTAATGCTTTTTGAGAAACAGTGGTTTAATGTCGAGAGATAATATTGCAGTATTGTGCTACTTTGATTGTTTCGACAAGTAGAAGAACCTAATTTATTTGATTAACGTGCGGAATAACGAAGATAAAGGTAAGATTTCGGTGCTAAGATTAAATCGGATAATTTAAACTTACAAATTGGTATTTTCCATTTCAACTTGTTACTTTATAAAAGACAGAAAAATTACCTCTTTATGCATCTTTATAATTACAAGATTAATTTGTAATGTAATACGAAAGCCTGAATTTAAATCGACACAATTATAAAATCTGTAGTTAATGTTGCTTTCAAATAAATCACTGTACAACTCTCATAACTCAATGCAAAATTAAGTAATTAATGCAAATTAAAAATGTGACAACTTTTTTTTATTTATAGACTTAATTAATTAGTGATTACTTTGGTAAATATATGCTACATTTATGTGCAATTACGAAGGAGTCGTCACACTGGATTTCCAAGGGAATGATTTATTTTCAACGGCAAAACACGTGAAGCTCTCCCATCAGAAGGGATCCTACCGTAGACGATATTTTGATGGACATTGGATTACGTTTAGGTAAGACATAAGAAAATGATGAAAATTCTTCGCAGTTATTGGGAATGAAATCTGGAAGGAAAATACTAGTGTTCTGTAATTTTGTTTTCTCTGCCACTGAATTTCTAACAAGATGGTCAACCTTGAACTTTCAGTTTTTCTTATATTGATTCATTACAAGGTTTGGCTAAAAAGTTTTAAGACTGAATATTATCTGTCTGAATAGCTCTATCTGCTTGAATGGAATTATGTGGTAAAAAATATATTGACTTTAGTCTGCTAATCGCGTTAGGATAAGTTGAGTTGTTGAGGAGAAAATGATCATTTGGTGTTTGCATGCTGTTTATGTTTGTAATGGAATCGTATTTGGAACAATTGTGCGATAAAGTTTTGTTCTAAAAGCTACAAAACTGCTAGAGAAACTCATCAAATGACGCAGAAAGCTTACTGCGAAGAGTGTTGCGCTCTAACATGGTTCTGGGATTTGGTAGATTTAGAGATGGTAGAGGTGACATAAAAGATGACGAAAGAATGGGACGTCCTCGTACAAGCCGAACTTGCCTGTTCATCGAACACTGTACTGCGTTAAATCAGGGTCGTTGATTAACGAATAAATTGCTTGCAGAACATTTAAACATTGATAAAGAAACTGTCCATGCAATAATTCGTGAGTATTTAGGAAAAACGAAAGTGTGTGCACGTTTTGTGCCCTACTCATTAGACAGAATAAAAGGATGATCGAGTGGCCGCTTGTCAGGATATCCTTGACATGCGAAATTGCGATCCAGACTTTTTCAAAAAAAAAAAAAAAAAAAAAAAAAAAAAAAAAAAAAAAAACATCAAAAGTGATGAATAGTGGTAGTCTAATCCAGAAACGGAGAGACAAGAGTGCAGAGTGGGGTGGTCAAAGAAAGTACGTTGGCAAAAATCCAGAGTGAAGATAATTTTAGTGGTTTTTTTGACTGCCAAAGCATCGATTCACCAAGAATTCGTTCCTAATGGAAAAACAATGAATGTGGTCTTTTACATATGTGTATCGAATCGGCTATTGAAACACATCACCTCTGTGCGTCCGGACTTTCTTGCAAACAAAAACTAGTTCTTGTTGCACGATAACGTTTTGTTGATGTTTTGTTGATGATGTGCAACTTACAATGCAGCTGCTTTTGGAAAAAGGAAATAGCTGTGCTACATCATACACCCCCGTCTCCTACTCTCCGGACTTACTACCACAGCTTACTTTTTGTTTCAGAAACTGAAATTAAAGCTGAAACATTATCAATTTGACTATGTCAAGGCGATCCAACCAAACGCTACGAAGGAGTTAAGCAAAGCAAAGCAAAGCAAAGGACTTCCAGCACGCTATGGAAGGACGTTCGGATTCCAGCAAAGGCCTTCCAGCACGCTGTGGAACGACTTTCGGATCGCGTCAATATATATATATATATATACACACACACATATATACAAACTATATACACATATACATTTGAATAAATATCAGCTACTATTAGATAGGTAGTTAAAAATAAAAAATAGCGAAATTTGTCAATAGCTGTACTTTAACAAATTTCAAAATTTTCAAATTGCAGGTTTGGAATTTGAAAATTGCCAAGCCGATCGATTCTCGCAACGAAATATAAAATAATAAAGGAAGGCATAAAAAGTGAAAGAGATGTATATTGGCTGTCAATATACAGTAACTTAAAATAACTCTAGGCGACAGTAAATATGCTGATTACGAAATGATTGGGTGACATAGATAAAATGCAGTTTAGGGACAAAAGACATAATCTATTTAATGCCAGCTATACTCAGCGAATTCAGTCGAATTATAAGCTTCAAAAACGCAAGTCCAACAGCAGTGGAGTGGTAACAGCGTTGAGCACTAATTATTGGACTTCGGTTTCCCGATATAACGAGATTACGAGCCTTTTTCCTTTAAAAGTCCTCCATTTCTTTCTTTCATTTTTATAAAATTATATTCTTCTATTCTAACCACCAGACTTTTAGAGCTATTTTCTCAGTTGTATAACTGCCGCTAAACTTACCACTTGCCTAAATCTACATAGTAAGCTAGGTTTCGTTCTCTTTTCAGCTTGCACTGCTCTGAATTTTACCATCTTTTCATAATATATTTATATTGCCTGATATATGATAGAGGACTTCTTTTAGAGGAGGTGGATACAATATTTTAAGAAATATCCGTGAATTTACATTTAAATATGTTATGTGATTCACAATCAAGTTCCTTAACTAATAAGGGTGTATGGTGGATTTCTTCTGTTTCTTCGTCAACTGTAATTTCCAATCTCAAATTTGATTTTCATTTTAATTTCTTCTCGCATGAAATCTTTTCGTTTCAAATGCCTTGCTATACAACATCCAAGCATCACTGTAGGCATTTATAGCTCCAAATAAAGATATAGTTTAGAATTAAAAGTCTAATTCAACAGCTGCTTAATTTTTACGCCTCGGCAGTCAGTTGAACTGCAAATTACGATACATTTGTTAGAAACTTACCAAAAAAATATGCAGAATAATGACAACAGTTTGCATTCAAGTAAAAATATGATTTAGCATAAATAAAAAGTGCGAAACATTTGCTCACAATTAACTTAAAAGAGATTACAGTGATTTTGAAAGGTGAAATTTTGTTCAAATATTTTTTTGACATCTTTCATATTGAAAAATTATAAGAAGAAAATAATTCTCAAAAGCTGGAAATCGTAAGAAAGTTTGCCTTTCATAACTAAAAACGTTCTGTTTGTTTATTTTTGTTTCATCTACAGGAATTTAGTAGTTAAATTTTACTTAGTAGCTTTCGTTTCGAAGATGCATAATCAGCTATATTTTTTGCCCCGAATCTCTTTAAAGTTCAATTAAACCCAAACTGCAGTTTTATGAAAAAACTAAAGAAGCGTTTTTGATAAAACATAACAAAGCAGTACAAGAAAAAAACATATAAATACTTTTGCTTATTTAGAAGTACATAAATTTCAAAAATTTTAAATCTTCATATGTAAATTTGTCATTGGAAATCAATATTAAGCAATGTTAAGCTGCACACATGAATCTTGGATTGCAGACAAATTTTTTTTTTCAGATGATAATTATTCTTCTATCTTCTCTAGCAATTAAAGGTAATATAATTATTCCATATAATTTGAAACCTAATGAAAATAGGTATTTTAATGATAAGCACAGGTTCTTCGATATATCAACATCGCCAATTAACACAAGTACTAGACCATAAACCGATACTAACTTTATCGACGTGTATATCAAATTTGATTTATATTATCAAAAAAATAGTATCTCTTTCAAAAGTTGTACTATTAACAAAAAGGAAGCCATTTTTAGAAAAAAATTCTGAGCGAAGAACTAAAACTGATAAAAGTAAAGAACTAATTAATATTGATGCAAATGATAGCAGCAAAGGAGTTTTAACAAAAGGTAACGAAACAACTAAAGGATGACACATTGAACATCAAGCATTTTCTGAAAACGAAACGCATATTCAATATACGAAACTGCGGAGGACCACACAAAAATAAGAAGTTCATGTGTGCAGCTACCCGCAGGTCGTAGTGTTTGAGCTGTTACGAGATAACTGACTGCTAAAAGACCACAATTGCTCCAGTGGTATCAAGAAGAAAGTAATATAATATTGTTACGGATGATTTTGTTTTTATTTAGCTGTTTTGAGGAACAGGCATATTTAGCTATTTATTATTTAGCTGTTTTAAGAAACATTGCAGAAGCATTTTGTTCAGTTACGGCTCTACTTGATATTACCAAGAATCATAATTCACGGCCATTGTCGAGGGATTTTAGAGATCCACACAGTGTCTGTCACCAAATCCTTTCAATTTCTGGGAGGCTGACGGAAAAATGATCTTGTTGTACCTCTGATATTGTTTCAACTGTACAGAATCAGAGGGCATAAAATACAACCGAAAAATACAGACGGTGTGAAGAATTCAATCTGCAAACAGTTTTAGACAAGGTTAAAAACTCAGAATGTTCTTAAAACTCTCTACTAGAGAGACTCTTGCCGCTAGCTAAATTCTCACATAACAAGGACAATAACCTACAATAATTGTTTTTATACCTTCAGTGTTTTTATGTATTATTAATAGGACATTTTCATAGATTTATATTAAATATGTTTTAGTTCTATATGCAATAAGTAACCGCATGGTACCGCACCATCAGGTCAGCCTACCTTCATCACCCCAAAACCATTCACATACTACGAGAGAAGTATGGACAGCGTTACGAGCGGAAATATGAACAAGCAAGATGTCATTGATCTGCGGACCAAATTTGATGAAATTGGATCCTTTGCAAGTGCTCAAATTCTTCTAAGGAATGAAAATGGAAATTTTGAAACCAGTGTAGTAACGACGA